TTGGACTTATTAAACTTAATTTTCTTGGACTCTGCCCATCCATAATTCACTCTGTAATTGGTTACGTACTCAAAGGGAGCCTAGCTTTTCTGGACCAGATTCAAAGGTTAGCAGCTTTGAGTGGCAACCAGTCCCCTGTAGAAACAGCTGTTCTGGACAACTGTTCAGTGGTAAAATTTCTCTTTTGATGGGCCAAACCTATTCTTTGGTCAGATCTGCTCTGTCTTTGTTTCATTCTGTAACACACAGTCATCTGAAATGAAAGAGATATCCCACTTAAATGGTCAACTGAAATTCTTGGACAAGTTTAGACATATATCATATTATGATTATTGCATTTTCTACTTTAATAAATATTTCTTTATGATGTAGTGTTTCACAAATCTTATTCAAAGACCAAGTGGAGAATACATTATACACTAGTGTCCTGGTTTAGGACAAATTTGGGAGGAAACCTCTGAATGAAGTCCCTCTGGAAAAAAAGGAAAAAAATTGGAGAGAAGTGGAAAAAAAATAAAATTTTTTATTTACCAGGCAACACACCTCCCAGCACAACAATGAACAATATCAAACAGTAAAACCTCTCGCTGTTCCGAGGAGATGGCAGATTTAGAAGAGTTCTTTCCGTGGCTGCCCGGCTCACTCAGGCTGCTCTCAGTCCCTCCTGTGCTGGGGATGCCGCGGCCCAGGCCAGGCCCGGGGGGCCACAGGTGTGAGCTCCCGGTGCTCTGCTGGGTTTTCAGTCCAGAGCAGGTTCAAACAGTTCCAGGAAAACAGAAAAAGGGAAAAAAAAACAATCCAGGAGGGCTTCTCTGCCTCAGCTAGCCAAAATCTAACCAAGAGCAAAGGAGAGCTCTCTCTCTCTCTCTCTGTCCACCGCAGACAGCACAGTCTGAGAGCAGCGATGCGGGGGAGCCCGGGCAGTCTCTGATAACAAACTCTGCTCTTCTTCTTTCCCCCCTTCACTCCTGGATCCAGTCTTAAAGTTGCAGAATTTAATATTCAACACCAACAGAACACGATTTGGGGATATAGGCATCATACAGTCACCCCAAGACAACTAGTGTGTTAATGCTCTGGAAGTGCTCTGCATCTACGCAGAAAGTTGAATCAAATAGGCCTGTATTCACTCATGCCTACAGCGGTGGTGAAATACCATGAGGGAAGATTAAAGAGTATTCTCAGTCTCACAGAGACATTTTCTGCAGGAAACTTGAGTGGGTGCTGTCCTCATGGCTCAGTAAACCAGGAATCATGAAAGTGTAGCATCAAGGCAGTTCCTTCAGTCTGTTTCAAACACCTTCCTGCTGCTGGTTTGTGCCTGGCTGTGAGCACAGAGGATGCCTGTGTCTGCAGAAGGCTGCTCAGATGTCTCACGCAGCACCTCTAGGACAAGGAGAACCAGATGTCCATCATTCCACTCTAAAAGCTAAGCTGCAGTGCTATCCTTCTTCTTTCTACCTTCTCACCCGGCCTGGTGTCTTGACCCGATTCCTCAGCTGCCCAGCTGGGTTGCTGCCAACAGTTTGCCAAGTTCAGAGGCTTGCAGGTCACCTTGGTGTTAGCAAGCTGTGCTGTGTGGCATCTCCTTGACCTTTGGCTTTGCTCTCCATGGTGCTCCTGCTGTCAGAACAAACAGAAACTGAGAAAGAACTTGCAACTCTGTCCCAGTTCTTCCTTATTAGAAAAACTGTGCTGGAATTTGCAGAACAAGTCTGCACTAATGTGAAACACTGAATTGTATTACAAAACCAGCCTATATTCCAGAAATCTTGCTGCCCAAATTTATGACTAATAAAATATTTTAGGTGGTATTTTAGGGACATTCATATGTTCCTTTCTTGACAGAATATCAGGGAAATAGGGAACCTATTGCAAAGCTGCCTAACTCTCTGACCAGTGCTGCAGCCAGAAGACCATCGTTTTTTCCCCTACTAGTAATTTTGTGCAACTTTCCCTAGAGATCATTATGGTTACTGGTAGGAAGTTGAAATGAAATAGTCTTGGAGCTAACCCAAGGGGTGTTTTTTGTTTTCTTTTTTTAATTTTCCTTCCTTTCAAACCACACTAAAAGTCATGAGGCAAATAAGCTTCCAGCTGATTGCACAGGAAGGAAGTCTGGATGTCAAACTACTATAGAGTAAATGATGCAATTAGGATATTTGTATTAGGATATTTGAACTCTTCAATCCAATCAGAATTTGGCACTCATGTTTCCCTTGGGAAGTAGGAGAGGCCCAGGCACTACCACACTGGTGAGACGCTGACCTTGTGCCCATGCCTAGGGTACATCATGGTCCTGGAGAACAGTCCAACAGAGTGAACCAGGAACATATACTGATGTGTTTTTACAGGAAATGCATTAATAAAGTGTTTACAAGTGAGAAGCTAATGAGATTCAGACCACCTCCAAGAAGAGGTTTGTTCAGAGATCTCGCATTTCAGCCACCCAGCCACAAGTTATTAAAAAACTTTTCAGGTTCTCCCATCGTCTTTGCTGGAGAACACTCTGTGCATTTTGGATGTAACCACAGCTCTTGCAAAATATTCAAAATATGATAAGCAAGTCCATCTGTCTTCAATCTTTAAAATTTATAAGCTCTACACGTTTGGAGACCTCATAGGCATTATGAATTTATTTTACTTAGTGTAAGCCAGCAGTGCTACTATTCCTTCAAAATATGTTACAGTTTTATTGTAACTCTAATTCTTAACCATAGATATTAATAGCTTCCCATGTAGCACAATCTTGAAAACATTAGGGGATACAGGAGGGAATGCAGGATATGAGCCATATGTTGTTGGCTTAGGCACATCTCCCTACAACCAAGCAAGACTAAATTAAAATTAGATTACCTCTCTGGAGATAGGTAGTAACAGTTAACGTGTGTAGTCCAAGTAGGAGGAGATGAGAATTTTTAAACTTTAAGCTGGAAAAGTCATCTGACATGAACTGTGATAAGTAATAGCATCAACTTAACCCTACAGTGTAATTTGGTATATGATGTGTTCAGTGGGAAAGAATATGACAATACAGTAGGAAAGGTAACATAACACCAAAGCAGCACTATTTTAGATGCTGTTCCAATATTTCAGTTATGATAATTAATTGAATACAATGTTCTAAAATTTCACACTCGAGTAGGTGGTCTGGTTTTGGCTGAGGTGGAGTTAACTTTCTTCAGAGTGGCTGCTATGGGGCTGTGTTTTGGACTTCTGCTGAATACGAGAGTTGATAATACAATAATTCTGTTACTGCTGAGCAGGGCTTACACACAGCCAAGGCCTTTCCTGCTTTTCATTCTCCATCCCGGTGAGGAAGCTGGGGGTGCATGGGAGGCTGGGAGGAGGCACAGCCAGGAGAGGTGACCCACACTGACCGCAGGGACATTCCAGATGATATGGCATCATGGTCAGTACATAAAGTGGGGGGGTAAGGAGATTGTGGACAGGCATTTGGAGTGATAGTGTTGTCTTCCCAAGTCACGGTCACCTGTGATGGAACTCTGCTATCCTGGAGATGGCTGAACACCTGCCTGCCCATGGGAAACAGTAAATTAATTCCTTGTTTTGCTTGACTTGTGTGTGCAGCTTTTGCTTTCCCTCTTGAACTGTCTATCTCAACCCATGAGTTCTCTACCTTTTACCCTTCTGATTCTCTCCCTGATCCTGCTGGTAGAGAAGTGAGTGAGCAGTTGCATAGGGCTTGGCTGTCAGCTGGGATTATACCACAACAGTAGGGATCACTAAAAACCTAGCAATGCTTAGAGAACAGCACAATGAAAACTTGCACTTCTTGTTGAACCTGGGCCTTTAAGACAATTCATTCAGTATGCAACTCGATCTTTGAGGGGACTTGGACAAAGATTTCCATTTGCAGTGTTTGGAAAAATACTGTAAATTTTAACCAAATGTGGCTGTGATACCTTTTATTAGAGCTCTGGAGTTAAACTTAAGGTGCTGACCTAAACACTGAAAAAACAAAAAATATACATATGTTTCAGATATAGAGAAGTTAAGGATATCTAAACAGAGACAAACAGATCCTCCACTTGCACATAGCAGCCTTTTTTATTGGTTTCACTGCAGCTATTCCAATGAATACCATCTGGTGACATTACCTATGCAAAATAACGTGTTCAAAAGTATGTAGATATGGATATTTTGCATCTGTGAGTCATAGTCTTCACAACTCAAGTAATTCTAAATGGACATTTCCTGTGCATTGATGTACAAACTGCAGTTTATGCTGTTGCAAACATGCAGTTGCAAACAAGCAGCAGCTAGAATAAAGTTTAACTCTCAATCATTTCAGCCAGGTAATTTTAACAATGAATTCACATGCCTTTTATTCTCCAACTTCTTTTATCATTTTGACTTCCAAGAAAAATATTGTCTGTGTTAATTGGGACAAATCTGCAATAATAAGCACCAGTCACAAGCTATTTTATTTGCACAGCATAATAAAATAAAATACAGAAACACAAAAACTGTCTATCTGCCTACCCGTGTTAGCTAGCTGAAAGGTGAGCAGAGAGGAGGTAAAATCCTCTGACTTTCTACATATGACTTATTACCAAAACTAGTAGGGTTGTTGTAACTGTATAACTGGAAGTTTTCTCCCAGTGCAGAGGGAAAAGAATTTGTGCTGCTGAAGAGGGAAAAAGCTCCCACAAAGGCAAGCCATCAAGTTAGTGCAACTGAGAAACAAAGGCATAGTTAGATGTGCAGCTCACCTGTTTTACCAGCAGTAGAGCTGGAGTGTATTGTGTGTCTAAATTTCCTGCATGCATCTCTTGTACATTCATGGAATAACTGCAGCAAACACAGAAAAGGTCTCTTGCTTCATCGACTGGTCAGACCTAGGAAATTCTGTATATTTTAGATGGGTATCATCCACTGAATGTGTGGATCAGCTATGCAGTGCACCCGGAATATGTTCAGTACATCCTAAATGCTGTTTTTGGATCAACATACAGGAATTCCCATGGCCCTGCTTCTACTTGGGATTCCTGTAGGCCTGTTAGATATGGAAAGGAGGTGAATTCAGAGAGATCTCAATGCTACCATTAATGTAGGGCTGTATTACCAACTACCTCTTTCTGTCTGCAAGGCTCCTGCGCAGCTTGTTAGTATACATACACAGAAGGAATAAAAACTGCACTGTTTTGATCTGTCGTCTTAAAACATGAAGTTACCTGTGAAGTCCTGAACAAAGTTGCAAGGGCAGCTTTGTAAGTGGTTCTTATATCCATCTTGGTTCTGGAGATATGTCTCCAGGAGACACATGGAGATACTTGAGACATAGTGTAGGAGTTATAATAATGTCTGTAAGTGCAGGTCAATCCATATTCTCATGTCTCTTGACATGCTTTTCAGATGGTTTAGGTTTCTGTGGCAGCACTTCATGAGCTATGCTATCCCTTCTGTGAAGAATAATTTCATTATTTCTTTTTTGCTCCAGAAAAAAACATGCTCCTTTTTCTGGACATACAAAGAAATGAATACTTCCCCTTATCTCCACCAGCTTAAAAAGTCTGGATATGATACAAGCAGTTAGTGAAACACACAAGCCTTTTGCATTTGAAAACACGGACGCTGCAAAAGGAACAGAGGCAGCTCTTGATAACCACAGCCAGGTCAAGTTTCCCCTTCTTTCCACCCAGCAAGGGTAACGGCTTTACATAGCTATCTCTGTTCTACAGTGCAATTATACCAGAAGACATAACTCGTTTTAAAGGGCAATAATTATAGCAACCTATCTGGTGTGTATATGAAGCACAGGAGAGAGACAACAGCAGCCTTCCCAGAAAACACGCTGGACACCAGTTCAGCCAGGTTGGGGAGGTAACATCAGAACAGTTTTACTGCAAAACACCAGTTGGGCAAAGAAGCATCAGCATGGCCAGATAGTCAGCTTTTCTCAGCTATTGCTTTAAAAGAGCTACTTAACATACTGGGGTAGTGTTACTTAATTCTAGGACAACCTTGCAGAATCACAACTTTACCAACATTCAGCACCCTGAATCTATTTTACTGCCCAAATCCTTTGGTACAGAGCAGAGAGTCTGCTGCCTGGCACAAGCAAATTCATTTTCTTACATCAGAAGTTCTTCTCCACTGGTGTACAGATCTGTTTAGACCATTGGCAGCTAGCCAGGAGAAACAGTCAGTATAGCAGCTCTTCTAGTATTAATACTTTGTTTCTGCAGTGATGCTGAGTGGGTAAGAGCCTGAGCCTCTGAATACACTGTATTAGTGAGGCATTTTAACTCTCAAAAATCTGTGTAAAGCAGAAGAAAAGAGGAATCACATTACAAAGTATTAGGTAGAGTGGTAAAAACGGAAATGCAGAATAAAATAACCAAGAACATCAAGGGGTGCTTATGTAGATGTCACACATGTTCCAGCCCCTTGGCAAACTGTTTTCAGCAATCTAAAGCCAATGTATTTTTTAAGAAAAGACAAGCTGAATACAACAGACATTCAGCATCCTCAGCAGCAGGGAGAGCCCTGTAATGGAGAGGGTATTTTCTAAGCCAGTCACTGCACGGTTCCATGTTTGAAACAATCAATAAGTACCTGAACCAAGTAACAGGCAAGTACAGGCATTACTTTACCAGAGCAATGAAGTATTTTCTAGCAGTAGTTATAAGAAGGGGAAGGAGTCAGTAGAGTTTTGCATCATGATGGGTACTGTGAGAGCTGGAGGAAGTCCTCACTGAGCCAGTCTCCATCATTTACCAGTTGCCCCGGCTAACCAAGGAGGCCACAAAAGACTCGAGGTAAGCAAATTTTACCCCTGTCTATAGGAAAAACTGGAAGGAGAATACGGGGAACTACAGGCCTGTTAGCCTGACCTCGGTGTCAGGGGGGGTCACGAAACAGATCATCTGGACTGTCAATATAAGGCAAATGCAAGGCAACTGGAGGATAAAGCCCAGTCAGCATAGGTTTGTGAAACACAGGTCCCAGGTCCTGCTTGACCAACCTGATTGTTTTTCTATGACAAGGTGACCTGGTTAGTTGATGAAGGAAAAGCTGTAGATGTGTCTACCTGTACTTTTGTAAAGCCTGTGAGATCATCTCCCAAAGCCTTCTCCTGAGAAACTGGGTGCTCCTGGCTTGAGCAGATGCTAAGGTGGCTGGGTCCCCAGAGTGTTGGTGAATGAAGTCAGAGCCAGCTGGGGCCCAGTGACCAGTGGTGTTCCCCAGGTATCTGTATTGGGGTCAGCCCTGTTTCGTATATTTATCAGTGATGTGAACGAGGGAATTGAGTGCACCCTTACTCAGTTTGCAGACGACACCAAGCTGGGCAGAAGTATTAATCTGCCAGAGGATGAGAAGGTTCTGCAGAGAGATCTGGACTAGCTGGCTCTATGGACTGAGGCCAGTGACATGAGGTTCAACAAGGCCAGGTGCCCGGTCCTGCTCTTCAATCGTGTGAGAGACTGAAAACCTGAAAGACTTCATGTAAACCTGAAAGAGCCAATGTCTCAAATATTTGACAGAAGAGGAAAGGAATGTTACCATGTCAACTAGATAAGATATGGTTAGAAAAGAGGGTCTTGCAGAGACAGCACAGTGCTTCTCTGGGACCAGCTTCCTTATCTTGGATAACTATTTTAAAAACAAATTTGAAACCATGGGACTGTGCAACATCCTTCCGAAAAGTTGTAGAATAACAAAATGTACATGCAAGGACTAGTCTGTAAATAGCGCAACAGAGAAAGGCAAGAGTATGCACCCATCATCCGTGCACCTGCCATCCAGAGGAACGAGACCAGAGGCAGTACTGGAGCCCCGGGTGGTGACACAAACCTGTTTTCACTACCTCTATTTTCCTATCTCTCCTTCCTTTCTTCCTCTGCTTAAAAGTTTGAATCACTGCTGCTGCAGGATGTTCAAAGATCACTATTGTCACGTGCTGTTCAGAAAAGTTTAATCTGTGGCTGTCCAGAAAAGTTTAAATTATTGCTGCTGCAGACCTTTCAACCTACCATAAGATTTAAATCATTCCTACCATAAGTAAAACTTTTAAACTAATCTCATGGCATTGTTTTGCCATAATTCAGCCCCTGGGTGCCCCAAACCTGGGCTCCTCAGAGCAGGCAGTGTAGGACTGCCCTCTGGGGACCCAACATGTTACAACAGCTTCAGGCAGTGCTGCAGGCTGAGAGCCGAGTGTCTACAAAGGTGCCCGAGGCAAAGAACCCAAGGATGCTGGTCAACATTGGCTGAGCATGAGCCAGCATGTGCCCAGGTGGCCAAGAAGGCCAATGGCATCCTGGCTTGTACCAGCAATAGTGTGGCCAGCAGGGCCAGGGCAGGGATTGTACCCCTGCTTTCATCACTGGTGAGGCCATACTGTATTCACTTTTGGGCCTCTCACTCACTACAGGAAAGACACTGAATTGCTGGAATGTGTCCAGAGAAGGACAGTGGAGCTGGTGAAAAGTCTGAAGCATGAGTCCTGTGAGGAGTGGCTCAGAGAAGTGTTTCGACTGGAGAGGAGGAGGCTCAGGGATTACTCTATTGCTCTCTACACCTGAAAGGAGGGTGCAGTCAGCTGGGGGTCGGTCTTTTGCCCTTGATATTATGACAAGAAATAGCCTCAAGTTGCACAAGTGGAGGTTTAGAATGATATTAAGAAGCATCTCTTTATTGAAAGGGTTGTTGAAGATTGGTATATGCTGTCCACAGTTGAAACCCCACTCCTGGAAGTATTTAAAAGCCATGTAGACGTGGCACTTATGAATACGGTTTACTGGTAGACTTGCTAATGGCTGGACTTGATGTTCCTAGGGGTTTTCTGGCCTAAAGGATTCTCTGAGAATAAATGGGTGGTGTTAGCTGTTAGGACTTCAATAGCCATTGTCTTCTCTTTGGTCTCCAGCAAAGGCAAGATTGTGCCTCTGATGACAAAGGAAGTAAACATCAAGATCAGACAACAGCCACCATTTGAGAAAAGTGAAGCTCTCAGATCCGTTTTAAAGGATCAGATTCCTACTTTCTACTAGTTCCTTCTGTGGACAAGTACTTGGAACATCATTCTCCCAGAAGCAGAGAAAAGCCTCAGAAGTAAATTCCATCAGGGAAATGGGGACTTCTTCTAAACATCAAGACTGAGGCATAACATAGCTGAGAAAAATAAACAGCCCAGCAATCCATAGTGACTCCCTTGAAGAAACTATCCACACCTTCTTTCCAGTCATCAAGATCTACCATATTCAGACCTTCCTGAAAATCAGGCACTAAGGTTACAGTATACAAAGTACCATACAAAACACAGGACAAAAGGAAAATACTCCAATATTCTAAATACTTTCCCAGACAACATTCCTTCCAGTTTACCAGAAACCTTCCCAAAAAAGCCAAGATCTTGACTGTGCTTCTATAGCCCCTGTATTCTCTGATTAGATGACATCTCAACCTCCACAAAGTGCCCATAAACAACTCTAATAAACTGTCAATAATTTTACTTTTAAGGAAGAAGCTGATATAGTCTATTTTGCCTCACTCTTCAATGGCAACCTACTTCCCCACACCTCTCAAGTGGACGGACAGCAGGATAGGGACTGGGGAAGCAAGGTGCTTCCCACTGTAAGAGATCTGCTATTTAATATCATCATTAATGACATAGTCAAAGGGATCAAGTGCAATCTCAGCAAATTTGCAGATGACACAAAGCTGAGTGATGTGCCTGACACATCTGAAGGACAAGATACCATTCAGAGAGACCTGGACAAGCTCAATAATTGAGCCAATGGGAACCTCATGATATTTACCAAGACCAAGTGCAAGGCACTGCACCTGTGTCAGGGCAACCCCGGTACCAACACAGGCTGGGGGATGAAGAGATCCGAGCAGCCCAGCACCAAAGGACTTAGGGGTGCTGGTGGGTGAGAGGCTGGACATGACCCAGCCATGGGCACTCCCAACCCAGAAACCCAAATGTGCCGTGGGCTGCATCCAAAGCAGCGTGGGCAGCAGGGGAGGGAGGGGATTCTGCCCCTCTGCTCTGCTCTGTGAGACCCCACCTGCAATGCTGCATCCAACTCAGGGGTCCCCAGCATAGGAAGTACATGGATCTATTGGAGAAAGTCCAGAGGAGAGTCAATAAGATGATCAGAGGGATGGAGCAGCTCTCCTGTGAGGAAAGGCTGAGAGAATTGGTGTTGTTCAGCCTGGAGAAGAGAAGGCTTCAGGGTGACCTAATCACAGCCTTCCAGTACCTGAACAGAGCCTGGAAGAAAGATGGAGAGATACTTTTTACAAGAATATGTAGTGACAGGACAAGGAGGAATGGCTTCAAACTGAAAGAGAGTACTTTTAGATTAGATACTATGAAGAAATTCTTCACTGTGAAGGTCGTGAGGCATTGGTACAAGTCTCCCAAAGAAGCTGTGGATGCCCTGCCCAGGGC